CAGACAATGTGCGTCTGATGCCTGATCTCCATCTTGTCTTCAATCCTGCTTCATACCTCTGGAGGAACTTTGCTACAAGCTGAAGCTTTGAACAAAGGACTGAGGACCCATCCCAGCTGGGGATGTATTCCAGAGACTTGATTTGAACCTGCAGTTTATTCTATCGCTGCTGCAAGCCTGAACCAAGAACTTTGCCATTACTGTATGTTTTAGATTTTAGATTCTGAAGGATTGGCAACAGCGTGATTTGTGGGTAAGATCTGATTTGTATATTGACCTGGGTCTGGGGCTTGGTCCTTTGGGATCAGGAGAACCTTTTTCTTTTACTGGGGTATTGGTTTTCATAACCATTTGTCCCCATAACGAGTGGCACTGGTGGTAATACTGGGAAACTGGAGTGTCTAAGGAGATTGCTTGTGAGACTTGCGGTTAGCCAGTGGGGTGAGACTGAAGTCCTCTTAGTCTGGCTGGTTTGGTTTGCCTTAGAGTTGGAAAAAAACCCAGCCTTGGGCTGTAACTGCCCTATTTGAGCAATTTGTCCTGAGTTGGCACTCTCAGTTGGGTTCCGCCAGAACCGCATTGTCACAGGAGGTTATCCATAACTCTGAAATGGTCCATAACTCTCAACAAGACGTTATGGACTTCAGTGGGGGAGTTGGGACTGCAGCCACAGGGCTGAGGGGTGTGGGGGGCAGGATTCAGTGGGGGGGCAGGGGTTGGGGGCTTCTGACTCTAGGGGCCACCAGGGCTCCTGGCAGGGGGCTCAGGGCTTCAGCTCCATGTCTCTCTTCTGACTTCAACCCCATGGGAGACGTTGGGATCTGGGCTTCAGCCCCGCAGCTCCGCTCCTGGTTTCAGCTGGGGGGGCAGAGGGGGACTCAGGGCTTTAGCTACAGGGAGAGCGCTGGGGCCGAAACCGGCATTCCTCTCATAACTAAATCCCTTAGTCTCAGCAGCCCCCACAGGGCTGAAGGCGGAAATAGAGCCACAGGGCTGAAGCCCCGAGCCCCAGTGTTCCCCCCCAGTCTAAAGCCCTGAGCCCAGGTGCTCAGAGGGTCAGAAGTCCTGAGCGCCACCCCCATTGGAGCCCTGACACCTCCCCCTCTGGGTCAGAAGCCCTGGGAACCACCCCTGATGGAGCCCTGACACCTCCCCCTCTGGGTCAGTAGCCCCGAGCGCCACCCTGCTGGAGCCCTGACACCTCCCCCGTCTGGGCTGCAGCCCAACCCCTCAGTGGCTGAAGCCCTGACGCAGTACAATATTTGCTCTTTTTTTGGGGTCTGTGCTGCTGCCTGATTGAGGACTTCCGGTTTCACAGGGTGTCTGGTAGACCGGTAAGTCCATAACTCTGGTGTTCGTTATCTTTGAAGTTCCACTGTACATACAAGTTTTGCGTAATTCTCTATGATGGAGACCTGCATGCGTCATCAAATTTTCTAAAGCTTAACAGATAAAAATCATCTGTTCCTGATTGGTTTGTTGGTTCAGAAGTCATGCTTTTTCTCTTATGCTACTCTTTGAAAGCAGTTCTTTAACCCTTGATGAGTAGGGCCCTACCAAATTCATGGCCGTGAAATCTGGTCTCCACCATGAAATCTGGTCTTTCGTGTACTTTTACCCTATAATATACAGATTTCATGGGGAAGACTAGTGTTTCTCAAACTGGGGGTCCCAACCCAAAAGGGGATCGTGGTGGGGGTCACAAGGTTATGGTACGGCGGTCGCAGTATTGCCATCCTCACTTCTGTGCTGCCTTCAGAGCTGGGTGGCCAGAGAGCAGCGGCTGCTGGCCAGGCGCCCAGCTCTGAAGGCCGTGCCTCACGAGCAGCAGCACAGAAGTAAGGGTGGCAATACCATACCATGCCACCCTTATTTCTGCGCTGCTGCTGGTGGCGGTAGCAGGGCTGCCTTCAGAGCTGGGCTCCTGGCCAACAGCTGCCACTCTCCAGCCACCCAGCTCTAAAGGCAGCGCTGCTGCAGAAGCGGCGCAGAAGGGTGGCAATACCACAACCCCCTTATAAATAGCCTTGAGACCCCCCACAGTCCCTTTTTGGGTCAGGATCCCTACAGTTACAACACCGTGAAATTTCAGATTTAAATATCTGAAATCATGACATTTATGATTTTTAAAATCCTATGACTGTGAAATTGACCAAAATGGACCATGAATTTAGTAGGGCACTATTGATGAGGTATTAGCTCTTTTGGAACTTACCTCAATTATGGAAAAAATGTGTCCCAGGAATCTTGTCAGGTTGAAATCTACATTTTTCTAAACTAAACTACTTACTGAAAATTCAGTCTATACTTGTTTCTTCCCTATTTTACTACTGTAATCCTTGTAAAGCTTCCACTATTCAATACACATTTAACAGCTACACAGTGCTGAAATAGTATGTTCTTGCCTCTCAGATAAACATTTTAATGGCTCCCCAAAAGAAAACAAGCCGATTTTAAAAGACTTCCTTCGGCCTCTAAATAGCCTTTCACTGTTCAAAAACTTACAGATTGTATTTTGTGGATCACCTGAATATACACATTATTCAGTGGCTCTAGAATGGTTATTTTATACACTACAATTTCAGAATCAGTGTTTTAAAGTGCAATTTAAAAGCTCTGCAAAACCATTTAAAAAGGGGTTTTAATGGCCATTTATATTAACTTCGTGCAATGAGATGTTGTCGGGCTGATTTAGGCCCCAGATTTAGGTTTTAATAATTCTTGGCACTATGTTTTACAAACATTACTTAAATTTGTAAAAGCTTGCTTTTTAGTAACTAACATCTCTATCCATATTTCCATTAAAAAAAATTATATTTAAACTGAAACAGTATTTAAAGGATGGGTTACCTACGGAGGTGGTGGAATCTTCCTTAGAGGTTTTTAAGGTCAGGCTTGTCAAAGCCCTGGCTGGGATGATTTAGGTGGGAATTGGTCCTACATTGAGCACGGGGTTGGACTAGATGACCTCCTGAGATCCCTTCCCACCCTGATATTCTATGATTCTATGAACTATTTCCTTGCAGAGTTTGCAACCCATACACTGTGCCATCTTGTTAAAAGCATGGCTAATTTAAAACAATCACACTTCTATTTTTTTTAAAGTTATTTTTACAACTAACATCTTAGTTATAAGATTAAAAAGACAAATATATTTTTCAGTTTGTTTACTGTCTGAATTTGGCAGCACTTTGTATGTAGTGTCACTGTTTACTCTATTATCAGTGTCCCCCATTTGTATGGGTCTTTCACACACAGTAACAAAAGGAGAGAAATATATATATAGTTGTTAAATAAAGAGGAAAGATTATATAGTAAAATCAAAGAAATTTTAGAGGAAATCAGGGGTAGGTGTGAAACCTAAAACTACTTTTAACTTCTTTTTCAAATGAGACTAGATTTCAAGTTGACAACTCCCTTCTAAGGTCTGAAATTTAGGAGGTGTAACAAGAAGTTAATTTGGAGGGGGGGGGAACAGTATGAATTTTAGCAAAAGACACTTCACAAGAGCAAGTTTCATTGACAGAACTACTTAAATGTTTAATGTAAAATTATAAAATAACTGGACTGGTACAGATATACAAGGAATCCTCACTGCTCCAACATTAAAAACAAACATTATATCCTCTTGCATGTCTTACAGAAAGGGGTATGCGTGTTTGTGTGTGTGCATGCGCATGTAAAGAGGTACATACCTGACAGCACACTAAGAAAATGAATAGTGTGATAGCTGTCCATAGTACTTTCTCTCTGAACTGGATCTATAAAATAGAATTTAGAAGAAGTGGATTAATCACAAACCTGTGTTAACACTACATATTTAGAGATCATAATAATATTCTATGACATAAAATGCTACATCATGTAGAGTTCAGAGCCAGAGTATTCAACCATAGCAATAGATTTCTAACACTGACTGATGTTTAACACTGATTATCTGATATATCTAATGTGACAGTAGTGAAGTTCCTATGTAATAATTGAAGAATACTGATATGTAAACTAGCTGTTGAGTTACACAATCTAACTTACACTGGCATTAGTGGAATGTTTATTATACATCTATAATACATTAATTCAAGAGGGACTGGGGCAGAAAAGCAACACAATGGCCTCAAAAAAGAACAACCAAGGACACACCTTCCAGAACATACCTGAAAAACAATGGGGAAAATTATTAGCTTCAAGGATCCTACCACCTTTTCCAATAGTTTAGGGTAGTCCTCCATCTTTTTTGCACTAATATTTTAAGGCAACTCCTGTATGAACTAAAATCCATTTTCCCTCTGGCTCTACAAGACTATGGTGACACTTCAGTATCAAAGAAAACACAGCTTTGTGTCATCCAGTACACCCTCAAGCCACAAAAGTAAGAAAAGTTTCTTTAGCTGTGGTCTGACACTAAAGGAAAAAGGAAATGAGCTTTCTGAGGCCATAGGCCACACACAGAAAAAGGTCATCCAGGTACTACCGCCAGAAACAACAACCAGTATTGAAATAACACGCAGTTATCTGATCAGATATGCCTGGACACTTCACTCCTTTGACATTTTCTCACCTAGAGTTGGTGCAAAATGAGTGCCCTAGGTGTCCTCCTCACAGTGTTTTCAGTCTGTTCAAGTTCTTAGTTTAGAAAACATCCTGTTCAAACAGATTTTAGCTATGCATACCAGGGGAATATGAACCACAGCTATCTGTTTACAACTAGTAGTTACTTCCAGTATTAACATATCCAACCAAGACTCACAGATGATGCTTTTTCATAAGAGAGAAAAGCATAGAAAAACACATTTCTTGCTCTCACGGAATACAATGGGAAAACTGATTTAAATGGGAGGAGGATTGGATGCAACTTTCACACATATTAGAAACTGATCAATGACCTGGAAGAAAACAAAATCCTTACTGATAAAGTTTGCAGATGACACAAAGATTGGGGGGTAGTAAATAATGAAGAGGCACTGATAGAGAACAATCTGGATCACTGGCCCAGCTTGACAAAACCTTGGATGGGATGATTTAGTTGGGGCTGGTCCTGCTTTCAGGAGGGGGTTGGACTAGATGACCTCCTGAAGTATCTTCCAACCCTAACCTTGTATGATTCTATGGTACTTGGCAAACTGGATGAGGGTAAACAATATGCATTTTAATGTGGTCAAACGTAAAGTACTACATCTAGGAGCAAAGAAATGTAGGCCATATTTACCAGATGGGGGACTCTATTCTGGGAACCAAGACTTGGGGGTCATAGGGATAATCAGCTGAACACGAGCTCCCAGTGCAATGTTGTAGCCAAAAGGGTGAATACAACCATTGGTTATATAAACAGGAGAATATTGAGTACGGGTAGGGAGGTTATATTACCTCTTATTTGACACTGGTGTGACCCCTACTGGAATACTGCATCCTGTTCAGGTGTCCACAATGCAAGAAGGATGTTGATAAATTGGAGAGGGTTCAGAGAAAAGAGTCATGAGAATTATTAAAGGAAAACATCTGCTTTGCTTAAAAAACAGAATTTAAGGGTTGATTTGATCAACTTGATAACAGAAGGTGCCAGATTCAGTGGAGTGCCCCCTCTCTGACACTCATTAGACTGCTGAGAGGGAACCCAGCCGCTGAGTTCCTGGACATTTTAAGCCTCCAGTGCCCAGCCACTGCTACAGTTTTTTGAGTCCCTAGGAACACTCTTGGGACACAGACCCTCTGTGACACTGCACGCCAAATTATTCACAGTGATGTTATTATGATACAATTATAGCATAATTCTGATGTATTTTATGCAAGATAAGTCATGTGAGGTGTCACTGGGCAAGTTATAATTTGCTGAATATGATTATCCTATTTGTATGCACATATCATTTTTGTGTCTGAAGTTATGAATGTTGACTATGTAACTGTATTTCAAATGTAGTTACACCTGGGTCACGCCCACGAGACAAGATGCTTTCAGTCTAGATAGTGGGTGGGGAAGGGCGTATTCAGGGCAATGGGCCATTAGGGAAAAAACAACAGGCCTTAGGAGAAGCTTATCTCCCACCTGGGGAGCCTTCCTGAAACCACTACAGACCGCCTCCGAGTAATGGCAGCTATGACTTTACAGGATATGTGATGAGACCACATGTCTCTAGACTTCATCTTGGGATGTCAGTATTTTTCCACCGACTGGTCTGGGAACCAAGCTTTGAAACAGAGTTCCCGCCATATGTAAAAGCTATATAAGACAGGGAGTGACATCATATGGTGTTCTTCACTCCCCACCCAAGAAGACTCCTGGAAACTCCTGAGGGACAAAGACTGAACTGGGGGAACTGCTGGACCCAGACTAAAGGTATTTCTAGCCTGTGAGTGAAACACATGGGGATTCCAAGCTGTAAAACAAGCTGTAAGAATCTGCAGCCTGCTTGTATCATGTCTTAAGGTGAGAATCTGCTATTCACATCCAATCTATTTAGTATATTAAGCTTAGTTTGCATTTTTTGTTTATTTGCTAGGTAAGCTCCTTTGATCTGTGCTATCACTTAAAATCTATCTTTTGTGGTTGTTAAACTTGTTTTTGCTTTATCTAAACCAGTGAGTTGGAGTGAAATGGGTGGGAATCATAACTCAGGGGCAAAGGCTGTTGCATATTCCTCTCCACATTGAGGGAGGGCGCAAATTTTATGAGCTTATGCTGTACAGTTCCCTGTGCAGCGCAAGACAGTATAATTTTGGATTTATGCTCCAGAGGGGGTGCACACCTGGGGAGCTGGGAGTTGCCTTAACTGTAGCCTTCCTATGGAGGGGCTAGTCAGAGAGCCTGCATGTAACTGTAGCTGGGTATGGTCCTACCTATATGTATGCTGGTAAAAGTGCAGGCTGGAGGGCTCTGCAGCTTGTCACAGCAGTACAGTGTAAGAGGGAGCCCAGGGTCAGGGGGCTCAGTGGTACCCCAGCTCCCAAGACTGTACCCCAGGGGTTCCCTCCTAACAGCTGGAACCCGCTGTCCAGCCCTTGGGCTCAGTACAGACCATTTATACTCCCTCATAGCTTAAATACACCAACTCCTAGAATTACACCCAAAGGTGAGAGACTTCTGGTTTACCTATTCCAGGGGCCAAGTGGTAAGTGTAAAGCATACAACACACACAGACACTGACAATTTATGTATTCTGTGTGAGATTATGAAGTCTTTGCAAGCACCTATATCAGACTGCACACTCCATTTGATAGTAAGGCTGGTCTTACCATCTTTACATTCCCACTGTCTTTTAACCTCCATCTTGAACTATAATTCCTGAGATGTGCTGGCATACAGCTATCAACAGACTTGTTAAATTTTGAGGATTGTCCATCTACATGACAAAGAGATGGCTGCTACCCAGGGCAAACCACTTTTTCAAGTCTGAACTCAAAGGCAGAGGTAGCCTGGCCACAAACCTGGTAAGGGTTTCTGGTCACCTGTTGAGGCTGATGAGGGGCACACTCAACAGAATAGACTGGAAGATTATAAAAAAGGAGCATCTTTGGTGACAATTTTCTCCAGCTCAAGAGGAGGGAGAAGCAACCCAACATATAGGGGGCTGATGAGGCTAGGGAACCTGACTACCACCCTGAATACTGAGGAACCACAAGAACTCTCTAGGGAAAGGTGAGCTAGAGTGCGACACTGCTAAATTATCTGTACTCACATACTTTATCTGTTAAGTAAAAGAGCAATGGTATTAGATCCTGTACAAAGTGTCTGTTACCTGCTTTATACTTGCCACAGGCCTCCTTGCACAGTTAAACAATAATCCAGAAGGCTCACACCTTTGGGTGGAATTCTGAAAGTGGGTATGCTTAACCTATGGAGCAGTCTGAATGGTCAGCACTGAGCCCAGGGCCTAAACAGCTGATTCCAGCTCTCAGGAGGGGGTGCTAGACTGAAAGTTTGCACCCCAAGAGCATACTTAAGGACCCCAAGGATGGGGTATTGGCTCAGCTCTATTCAGGCTCTGGAGGCTTAAAATACCCAGGGACCCAGTGGCTGAGTCCCCTCACAACTGTTTACTGAGTGACTGAGGGGGGGGATATATGACAGAGGGCTCTTCAGCCTAACAGATAAAAGTGTAACAAGATCCATTGGCTGGAAGTTGAAGCTAGACAAATTCAAACTAGAACTAAGGTGCAAAATTTTAACAGGGATAATAATTAACCACTGGAACAATTTACCAAGGGTTGTGTGAATTCCCCATGACTGGAAATTTAAAAATTAACATAAGATGTTTTTCTAAAAGATATGCCATAGTTCAGAAAGGAATTAATTTGTGGAAGTCTCAGATGATCACAATGATCCCTATAATAATCTATGAATTCACCCAATACAAGCAAAAAATCAAATGCAGCACTAACCTTTCTTTCAGGCTTCTGGATTTCAGGTAAAACTGCACAGAAAGGCTTAATAACTTCTAAAAATTTAACTGTTTAAAGAAAAAAAGAAATAAAATAAGTTTTTCAAGCAGAATAATAGTAATACTTATTACAGCACTCACTTTCTTACCGAGGATTCAGCCCTTTAAATATGCACATTAACTACTTGTCTGACATTCAAAAAAATGAGTTTCATGCATAAATTCATACTCTTACCGCTACCTGCAAATTCATGACTTGTGTTGATCTGAAGACAAAACATGGCAAAAGTTTGAGATGGAATTTAATGGTTATTACTAAGAAGGTCAGTCTTTTCCTTCACATTAGGCTTGGTGTCATTTTTATACACTCATGAAAGGAAGTATTATATATAATAATGACAGCGAGCTGGAACTTAAACATTAATTGAAGATGAATATCTGCTGTCTTTCCAAGTTAGGTAAATACAGAGACAAGATGTTGATTTATAACAACACTAAAATATGCATAGAGAAAAAAATCATCCTAAATCATATAATAGAATGGAATTTCCCAAAGTAGTTACTCAAAAAGAAACACCTGTGATTTTAAGACCTCTAAAACACTAGATGTAATCAGAGCAGTGTGGGATTTTAGTTCCTTTAACATTTGATGTGGTTCTGCCTAATATTTCTATCTGAGAAAGAGTGAACAAGTTAGATAGTATGATCCCTTTAACTGGAACAAATTCCAGAACAAAGAATGATTTTTTTGTTTGGCCTCCAAAATATGTGCATTATAACAAGACACATTAGGTATGAATATCATCAAAGATCCAGTCACCAATCCACCCCCACACAAATATGCAGGCAGAACTGAGATGATCCCTTTTCTTATTTTCTAATCTATTGGGCTATATTTTTACAGTTTAATACTTGGTACCATGAAATAATAAGACAGATCATTAAAAAACATGTTTGGTTTATAAAGCTGAAATGACTCCATTGTTGGTAAACCAAGGCCAGAAAATCCTACAAAAATCCAACAAATTAGCTGGATTATCTTGGCCTGACAGCGAACAGAAATTTGGAAATTAAACAGTCAGAATGAGATTTCAATTTTCGAACCATATTCTTCTTTCAATTTGTTGCTTCAGCCTGTTCAGTGCATATAAACACACAATACACACAGAGCGAGGCCACAGCTCCCATACAGATCTCAGCCAGTCTTATTGTACAGGCATGGTGTCACTATGGCAGGCATGGCCTCACCTGGCCATGGGTGGCACTTCAGCAGGCAAGGGCAAAGCCTAACTCAGGCTAGTGTGGTCAAAGCCTCGTGTCCTGCACAGAACAAGCAAGCTGGACAAACCCACAGAAAGATCCACAGACCTGATGGTTCGTTTTCCCTTGCCTGGGGCAGGAATGTTCCATAAAGCATATTCCCCGGTGCTTTAGCCAGGCAGAGTCATTCCCTCATGGGCATGGTCACCCACAACTTCTCCCAGCATATTCTACAGTCACCCATGGGCCAATCCTCCCACACCTCCCTTACAAGTCACAGTCTCGGTCTCACCCTCACCTGCCACAACTCCCCTGTACTATCTCCCTACAGCCAAGGCTTGTTCCTCCCCCTGGATTGCCCCATGCGCCTCAGCCTAGTGTCTCTGTCATCCAGATTGCCCGTCGCCCCAGCCTAGAGTCTGTCAGTCTGCCCCCTTCCGGTCGTCCCATGCCCTCAGCCTGGTGTTCCTATCTCAGGCCGCCTCAGATGCCTAGCCCGGGGAGCTGTCGGTCGGTTGGTCCGTCCGTCCCTTCGACAGGTCACCCCCAGATGCCCAGCCCAGGGAGCTGTCCATCCCTCCGACAGGACGGCCCCAGACGCCCAGCCCGGGGAGCTGTCCGTCCCTCCCTCAGGTCGGCCCCAGACACCCAGCCCGGGGAGCTGTCCGTCCCTCCCTCAGGTCGGCCCCAAAACGCCCAGCCCGGGGAGCTGTCCATCCCTCCCTCAGATCGCCCTCAGACTCGCAGCCCGAGGAGCTGTCCATCCATCCCTCCCTCACGTCGCCACAAGACTCCCAGCCCGGGAAGCTGTCCATTCCTCTCTTCCTCCCTCCCTCCCTCAGGTCACCCCCAGACGCCCAGCACGGGGAGCTGTCCATCCCCACCTCAGGTCGCCCACAGACGCCCAGCCCAGGAAGCTCTCCATCCCTCCCTCAGGTCACCCCCAGACACCCAACCTGGGGAACTGTCCATCCCTCCCTCCCTCAGGTCTAGGGTGACCAGACAGCAAGTGTGAAAAATCGGGACGGGGGTGGGGGGTAATAGGAGCCTATATAAGAAAAAGACCCAAAAATCGGGACTGTCCCTATAAAATCGGGACATCTGGTCACCCTACTCAGGTCGCCCCAGATGCCCAGCCCAGGGAGCTGTCCGTCCCCGCCTCAGGTCGCCCCCAGACTCCCAGCCCGGGAAGCTGTCCATCCCTCCCTCAGGTCACCCCCAGACTCCCAGCCCGGGAAGCTGTCCATCCCTCTCTTCCTCCCTCAGGTTGCCCCAGACGCCCAGCCCGGGAAGCTATCCATCCCTCTCTTCCTCCCTCAGGTCCGCCCCCCGACTCCCAGCCCAGGAAGCTCTCCATCCCTCCCTCAGGTCACCCCCAGACACCCAACCTGGGGAACTGTCCATCCCTCCCTCCCTCAGGTCACCCCCAGACGCCCAGCACGGGGAGCTGTCCATCCCCACCTCAGGTCGCCCACAGACGCCCAGCCCAGGAAGCTCTCCATCCCTCCCTCAGGTCATACACACTGACCCAT